TATTCAATCAATGAGATATAAGGTCGAATTCCATCAGATGAGTCATAGATTTATTAATTATGATTTAGAAAAAGTCTCATCCATTCTTATCATCTATTTAGGTTACAGTAAATTCACTGCATCGCTATGGGCTGAATTTTTTACTGTCGCAATATTGGCAGCATATTTATATGCTGGAATAACTGGAATTCAGGCTCTGTATGCAAATTTTGATGCTAAAATGCTACTACCACCTGACTCCAAAAGTATCGAAGGAGTTCAAATTATGAATGAAATTGTAAGTTTGTAACACATATTATTTGTTTAAAATTATTCAGAATTGACTGATTTAAGTAAATTAATAAGTATATGATATTATGATAAGTGTATTCAACAAAAAAAAATGCTTAAAATTTCATGAATTTTAGTATTTAATTAGATACTATCAATTGCAGTACTTACAATAAAGTTAAATAATAAAAGAATTTTCAGGTATGGCCAGATTATTTAGGTATTAATTATATCATGCGCAAGCCACCAAATTTTTCGAATCCCCTCGAATACCGAAGTTTCATGGTCTGTTATTTTTTTAAATCGGAATGTTTATATTTATTAACTTTTTTTAGTATTTAAAAGGTATAAAGTCAAGCTGAAGAGTATTCTAAGCCAGTCAGTAAATGAATATTACTTCCAGGCAATGGTTAAAGAAATTGAAGCATCGAAGAACTCGTTAGGAGCAGAAGCAACTATGCATTGGGTCAAGGATTATCTGCGCTATCTTGCTAATCCCAGCGCAAGTAAACTTGATGTTATTTTTGGGATATCTGGTCCTGAGGCCAATGATAGTGTTTATTTGGAACAAGGCAAGTATCATTTGCCTTTACTAATGACATTTATTATTGAATTGTTTTGTGAGTATTTTTTGTAATTGAACTTTTAACAAGTACTGAACTAAATCTCTCTTGAATTTCGACTATCTTGAAGTAAACTAGACTTCACTTGAAATCAATCTCGGAAATAATCATTAAACTGCTTGGTTAGTTTAGGTCTCGATATGTCACAATTCGATGCTTTTATCAGCACTGATCCATACATAGCTTGGAAGTCTGGCATCCGTTATAACCGAAATTTTCATAATCAGCGAGTTTTATTCTACAAATTTGTTTTTTTAACACAAAAAAATTTTCGATTTATGTTGAGATCGAATAAAATTGCTTTTATTTGAAATAATATTTTCATATATGACAATGCCATCATTTTTATTTTGTATTTCGTTAGTTTGCTTGCAAAAAAGTTCACTCTTTTGATATATTATTATTTAGCTATATAGAAAATAAGTGACTAAAATAAAAACAATTAGTAATAATTAGTTCATGGTAATTATGACATGGGTGATAGCTATTTTTGTGTAGCATTTGTTTGAGGACAGAGATAACTTCCATGCTACTGATGATTGGCTACAATAATATTACATCGTTAGCAAGCAAAGCTGAAATGTTACGTTCTTGTCGTGAAATATGTGTGCGTTACGCTGAATACGATATGGCACCGTTTGGCACTGACGCTGAATTGGTTGACGTTATACTCTCTGTTCCTTCTACTACTGCCAAGTAAAATTATTAAAAAAGTCTAATTAATTTCAGTCAATCAACACTATTAATTATAATCAGCACGCTTTGCACAGCATTAATTTTAAAAAGTGAATTTGAATTACCATCGTAGTCGGATAAATTCTGAATTATAGTGTTATTGTGTTCTGTAGCACTATTTCTATGTATAACATTATTGTATTCTGTAGCACTGTTCTCTTCACGATTGGAGCGACTGGTGTTGTGTTCTTTATTTTCTCCTTGAACTTTATCATTTCTGTCTTGGCTACCTTATGTGTAATATCTATATGTACAGGTGAGAGTTTGCATAGATTATTATATACTTTTGATTTCCTAACTAACCGAGAATAAAGTTGGGCCTTTATTTACTATGAGAAAATAAAATATTTATTGATCACAAAATATCAAATGTTTTTTTAGTTAAATGATCGTATTTTGATCCTTTTTAGCAAAAGAAACCGTAAAAAACAATAGGAATTTTATCTTGCACCAAACTGTCTCTACTTTCAGGTGTCATTGGTTTTTTGCAAATATTGGGCTGTTTTCTGGATCCTTTCTTAATGGCTACCATAATAATATCTGCTGGTTTGAGCGTTGATTATGCTGTTCATATTCTTATAAATTATCTTAAAAACGACTGCTCTGATAAAACACAAAGAATTAATGCTTCGTTTGAAGCATGTGCTTTACCACTGCTACAAGTAACCTTTCAAGCATTCTTTCAGTCTCCTTAACTTGATGCATGATAAAGTCACAGCAAGCTTTTACCAAAAGTTTTTATATGATTTATTCAAAATTACGAATGGAATAACTGAATATCATAAAATAGTAAACAGAGGTTTACTAAAGAAATTTTATTCCATATTACAAGTTTTCAGTTTTTGAAAATAATTTTTGTGAATGGAGCTAAATTCAAATAACCAATTTATTTACTTGCCAATCGAAAGTTACAGCAACTGCATTTCTAGGCCGGGTTGTCAACATTCCTTGTTATGTTTCCTGTTCTGTTTTCTCCAGTGGGCATTTACAGTTTAATCTCTAAAGCAGTTTTACTGACTGTAATATTTGGTCTTTTTCACGGATTATTTGTCATGCCCGTGATCCTAACCTTTTTACCTGTTGGCCTCACTCGTGGGCTTATTTGCTACCTTAAAGGATGATTTTTGCATCAGATTTTTTTCCCTGTCACTTCCAATTAATGACGGGAGTCTTCATTGACATTGCAATGTTTAATTGTAAAACTACTGAGAGCCTTCAATTTTTTTCATTATGTCTAAATATTTCGCACCGTTTCATTTTATACATTCATTTACTGAGAAAATGAAAAACTGATAATATGGGAATCGCCAAAATAGTTTGAAGTGTGACTTTCTAATATGAGAAATGCGCAAGTATTTAAATTATATTTTAAGTTCCATTGTTGAAAAGCATTTTTAAACTTCTATTCTAAAACTAAAAACGCTGACTGTCAGAAACTCACGTTAAAAATTGCACAAATTTATTTATTCGAAATTTTAAGTATTTTTCCGATTTTACCAGCAAAAGTAATTTCTGCACTGATAAAGTTTCTATGATTTTCAAAATATCAACTTTCAAATTAATTTTCTTTAATTCTAAACTTATTTTTTTATGCTTTGGTAAATATTTCGTAGATTTTACATTTTTAATGATTTTTTTATACAAGAAATCAGCCTGTGTTATTATAGAACGAAATGTTTGAGAATTCACTTTCCGTCTTTCCATGTTAAAAGACTTGTGAAGTTTTCACGATTATTTCCCGTGAAACTGAATTTGGTGTTATTGCTGCTCAATGATTTATTCTATCTCTCTATCTCATCTGATGGATTCGTTCATTTTGTGCATTTATATATAAAAGTTTTCTTCTTTAAGTAAAAGTTTTTTCTAAACTTATCAGAAATTAGGCGGGATCTTTGCAAAATTTTTCACATTACTATTAAGCAGTTTTTCTTTCTTACTTGGAATCGAAAACTTTTAGCTGATTTTTGAAAAATTTTTTAGATATCACATATTCATAGTTAAATTAATTCATTCATATAAGTGAAGGTAATTATTGTAAGTTACTGTGAATTAGAAAAACAGAAAATAGTAATTACTTTATTGCCAATAATTTGAGGTGCATCATATCGCCAAAATCGCTGGTTTACTGCTTTCGATTTTATGAAGAATCTAAAATTTTCAGTTATGTACATTCTTAAATCGGTGAAAACGAGTTCATCCCTTCTTACGTCTTATCTTACTTTAAAGATTTTGTTTTGTCGCAAATATTCACTTTAAAATTTTGCTTTAATTCGCTCAGATTTCTACGAAAATTGGAAACTGTTTGAAAATATTTCTTATTTTGTTTATTTAAGCATCTATACAACTCTAGTATTTTTTTTAT